GTATGATCCATGTGCCAGGAGTCTTCAGTTGAGTAAAACAGCTGGGGCGTGGACCCTACGTGGCCTCCCATCTCCTTCTCTCAAGACTGAGTGGGGAGGAGTTGGGGGATGGGTAAGGAGCTTCTGTTCTGTTCTGAGGCCAAGCCTTGCTATATTTTCCCCACAGGTGAGGGCACTCATGAAGAAACAGCCTTCGGCTCTTTCACACCAGCCCAGCGTTTCCTTGGCCCTCTCACACAAGTTTGCAGCTTTGTTCTGTTCCTAGGTGAAGGAGCACCAGGACGAAACCAGGTCACCTACGTTACATTTACTGAAATCGATCTGAATGGTCCTCAAGTTTGTTTTCCTCTCAGAGGCGCCTTTATTTTCTCTGATGTCTGTGGCTGTTGGTGTGTTTATATGGGGTACCTCTTCCAGACAACCTTCTTTCCTCCATTCCAGTCCTTTCCTCTGGCAACAGGCCAAAGAGCTAACAGACTATAGTGTAAAGGACCCCGCCCGAGGTTTTCAGCATGGGCGGGGAGATGTCAGCTTTTTGGTGTGTTGTCTAATATGTGAGGTATGTGTGTAGATCAGCCTGGTGAGGCTGAGGGGGCTGGTCTACTTGCTCCGAAGGGGGGATCGCTCTCTCTCTCTCTCTCTCTTCTCTCTCTCTCTCTCTCTCTCTCTCTCTCTCTCTCTATCTCTGTCTCTCTCTCCTCTCTGCTGCTGCTGTCTTGTATATCTGTGAGATGTTTTTATTTTTTCCCCCAGATCTCCTTCTGAAAGGAGACTATTGTTGCCGCAGACAGCAGAGGTGAGGAAAGGACACACATCACGTCAGTTTTAAGAATAGCTTTATTACATATTTTACTTTCACCAAGGAGAAAAAGTCAAGGAAGCTGGGGATGAGCCAGCTCCTCTCACAGAGACACAAACTTAAGACCATACATGGCGTCCAAAGCCCCCTCAAGCCAAATGGTTCAAAGCAGACCATCCATGAAGTCCAAAGACTGACAGGGGTCCCAAGATTCCCACTTGCGTTTTCTTATTGACTGTTTGAATTCAATATTTCAAAATATTTTGTTTCAATTTTACAAAGCACAGACCACATTACAATGTCTAACCATTTTTTTGTTAGGATGCAGAAACAGTTACACTGTTTTTGAGTTGGTAACACCACCCGCCTCTTCTTAATACCTGCTGTAGTGTTGATAGCCAGCCTGAAGCCATTACAGGTTCTTTTGAGGTTTGAAAGAGAGCCTTGCACTCTGAAAGAGGGACGAAGGCATCCTTGGTCATTGGGTACTAAGGGTTAGTTGAACTTTTGCCCCAAGAGAGCCGTGTTAGGCTTTGGTGGTCTCCCTGGACAGCCCCACCACTCCTGGACTAGAGATCATCCACCGGCTGCAGAGAAGAGGACTCATTCACAGAGGTTGATAAGAATCAGAGAGCTATCTTCAGAGGTACAGACCGAGTCCTGAAATACTGAGGAAGTCAGGAGACAAGAAGGGGTATTATACGGAGATACCCACAGGAGAAGGTCACCAGAGCGGGAACTGGGCTTGGGTTTTCTTCTGCTGGTCATCTTCTTGACTCCAGGTGGTGTCTGACCAGCTACTTTCCCTTGCCCTGGGATGAAGCCTGCTCCTGGGCCTTCTGCGGGAACTCCTCCACACATTTGGTTTGAGCTAGCTCCTGGCATGACTCCGCATGTTGAGGCAGGCACTGATCTTGGCTTGGAGGTAGGCATGGATCTTGGCCTTGCTGTGGGCAGTTTCCTTGGCTTATCTCCTGACACTGAGGATCACAGACCTCCTGAGCTTGGAGTGAACATTTGTCTTGGCTGGGGTCCTGAACACACACTTCCTCAGCTTTTGCCTGGCACTTTTCTTGGGTCTTTTGAAGACATGGAGGTGGCACACATGGTTGCTTGCACTGTTGGTCACTGAAAGACATCTTGGGTGATTTGAAGAGCCTGAAAAAAACAACAACAGAGGATTTAAGCTGTTTTACACCGAAAGCACCAAGCTGGGAACTTGAGAAAGGCGTGGGTGGGTGAGGATTGAGAGAGGGACTGAGGAGCAGATAATTAACTCTCAGACTGACTTTTATCCATGTCTTTTATATCCCTAGCCCAGCTCCCTCTGACACTTGTTTCCAAGATGAAAATATTATCCGGGCTTTTGTCTGGATAGACACAAGCTGAAAACCCCGGTCCGACCACAGAATTTAACTAATAATCTAAAAAGTCATCTACAATACGCTAAGCAGAATACATGAGATAGGTAAAGTGGTCATATAAAAGGCAAGATGTCTAAAATAAATGCAGAAAGTATAGTCTAAGATAGGAACAGTACAGTGGCCTCCAAGAGATAGAACATGGGGGAGAGAGATGGGGAGGGAGGGAGAGGGAGAGAGAGAGAAGGAGAGGGAGAGGGAGAGGGAGAGAGAGCATGCTTACCTGATCTTCAATAAGATTCAATGAAGGATGTGGATTGTGGAATCTAGGAAGGTGGGGACTTTTATACCGTGCTTGGTATGGCCTCCTGAAGGGCTGGTGGGCCACGTGGGCTAAAGTCCTAATTGTGGAGTCACCATAACAAGCTTCATCTGAAATCACGAACCGTTTGAGTCACTGCTTGTGATGCCTGTTAATCAGCCTGCATTTTGGCCTCTGGGTTCTCAGCAGACCTCAGCAGGGAGGGGCTCCATTCAGAGCTTTCATTACAGGCAGCAGGAAAGGAATGTCCATAAAATGTTATCTGTCTGTTAGCAGGGCCGAGGTGCCCTGTCTACTCACACTGGTTCAGGATGCAGTGAGAGATACGATCAACCTTGCTCATCTCTCTTTGCCAGTAGGAAGAATCTACGCCTAAGGCCTGGGGTCTGTCTGAGTTAAGGACCAGTATGGTTTATTTCAGACATTTCCACTAGATGTTCCTGCATTATAATAAATGCAGAAAACCCCTCCATTTATTTTGTCTAGACTAGCTCAAGGCTTGGCTCTAGACAGTGAAGGTAGTGGTCTTGGCCTGGAGGCAGGCATGGAAATCAGACCCAAAGAAGATGGCTTAGACTTAGGGCTCTAAGTTGAGACGCCACAGTGTCCAGGGCAGAAATGAAAGTTTTTCCTGCATAAAGTCCTGAGGAAAATTAGAGTGTTTTCATGTTCTTGTGTCAGGTGATGTGAGGGGAGAAGAGAAGAGACCACCCTCAGTTTCTGAACTTTGGGTTCTGGTGCCCTTTGAAAAGTAGAGCTTTTCCGAGTGACCAAGGAAACAGGTTGGAACACCTTTCTCCTCACCTCCTGAAACACTTGTCAGATTGAGGCCAATGGAAACTGAGTTTGGGGTGGAATCAAAGTTCAAAGCAATGTACCCATCTCCTCTATGTCTTGTCCCTGTTACATGATGAATCCTGCACCGAAGCTGTTGAAATCCATCAGTCTTCAAGCTCCATTCACGCCTACCGTGTTTCAGGAGTCTTCCCTGGTCTTCCCTGCAAACCAGAAAGAAATTCACTTCTTTATAAACTCATATAATATTTATGTGTATATATTATATATGTATATATATGCATATATATGACATTTAGTGTTTCTGTTCCCTTATTCTGAGCTGTAAATTCTGACATCTGACAAGATCACATGTATTATATAACTGAAAGATAAGATTATTGATGGGGCAGGCATGAGTGAGGGAATGAAGGGGCAGGTGTACAAGATAGTGGTGGACAGACAAAGATCTTCTCACAAACCTTGGTCCACCATAGAATTTTTCTTTCTCTTCTGTTTAAATAATTCTTTTGAAAATTCATGTACAGTACACAAGACAGACTACATAGGATCCTTAATGATATAAAGAAAGTAGCAATCAGCTTTAAAGAGAAACTAGTAGAATGCACAAGGCAAGGCGGAGGCAGAACAGAGATGGAACAGAGAGAGAAAATGGGGGGGAAACGGGGGGGGGGTGGCAGGGGAGGGAGAGAAGAGAGAGAGAGAGGGAGGGAGGGAGGGGGAGCAGAGAGAGAGAAAGAGCTCTCAGGATTACCTGAACTTACAACAGGCTCCATGAAGACTGTGAACTGTAGAGCCAAATAAGGCGATGACTTCTAATAGAAAACAAAAGACAGTAATTTATTCAATTAAATATTAATATTTAGGGGGAAATAGCATTCATAATAGAAGTCTAGAGCAGTGGTTCTTAATCTTCCTAATGCTGAGACCCTCTAATGCAGTTCCTCATATTGTGTGACCCTAACCATAAAATTAATATTGTTACTACTTCATAATTGCAATTTTATGCTGTTATGAATTGTGATGTAAATATCTGTGCTTTCCAATGGTCTCGGGTGGCCCATGTGAAAGTGTTGTTAAACCCCTAGGAATGGTGACCCACAGGTTGAGAACCACTGCTCTAGAGTCCCTGAAGTGTTGAATTTATTTTATTTGCTATGCTGACTAAATTTCAGTAACTTTCAACATGATAATCCTAGGCTCTGGAGATGTGGGTCAGTGGTTAGAGCACCAGCCGCTCTTGCAGGAGACTAGGTTCTGTTCCAAGCATCCAGATGACAGCTTATAACTGTGCCATAGGTCCAGTTCCAGGGGATCCTGTGCCGCCTTCTTGCCTCTGCAAGGATTAGCTGCAGAATGGGAAGGCTCTACTTGCTCCCATTCTATTCCCCTTCAATTTAAATTCCCTTTCTGTTTCTTTTCTTCCCCCTCTTTATCTCTTTTCTGTGAAATGGTGTTTAAGAGGCAAAGAAATGCTACTGTATTGTAGAAAGTAAAGAATTGGCGACTGCTGAGTTTATTAACATTCTTTTTGCTAGGAACAGTCCTGCTCTTTTAGGGCCTCACATTGATGGAGATGGGCAGAGGTAAGCTGTTATGCCTGATCTCTGGAGGCAGAGGATAGAGGAGGGGCATTTTCATGTAGCTTTAAGGACAGAGTCCTAGTTAGAAGGTTTCTAAAGCACAGAGAGCCAGCGGGATGAAAAGAGTATCTAAAGCCCTCTTAGGCATAGATGAGAGATGAGGGGAGAGGATCTGCTGGAGATTTCCAGAAGTTTCCTAAAACGTGATGCATGAGATGACCTAGTTCATGCTCCATGCATTTCTGTGATTTTTGGATAAGCTCCGGGAAACTGAACAGCTGTAAGAAGAAAAATGCAGAAGCAAAGCAAGGTCATATTGTCATGGTAGTGGATAGCCAATCTGGATAGATCCCTGAGCTCAGCTTATCTATAAGACCGTCCCACCTGTCGTTGCATTAATTCGTGACCATTCTTGAAACAGAAGCCAAGTCCCGAGGAGGACAGATAATGACTTGCCAAAGATGTCCTACTTAGTCAGTAGAATTTGTGTTTGGTTGTGTGGCAAAAGAGAATTAAGATGGGAGACAGAAACTCAATTGCTTGATTAGTTTACTTAGAGCAGAGAGATTATTTGGGCTATCCAAAGGAAGGGTGTAATATAAACTCGAGGATCCTTGTAAGAGTGGAGGAGGAAGAAGCATTGTTATTTACTGTGAAAGACTACACGGGCCATTGCGGGCAAAGACAATGGGAGAACATGCAGAAATGGCAGCGGCTGTGGAAGCTGGAAACGCCAAAGCAATGCTCTCCAGGAGGTTCCATGAAGCAGTGTAGCCTGGCTGTCACTCTGATTTTATTTCACTGAGACCACCTGCCATTTTTTTGGTCAACTTGACATAAGCTAGCGTCCTCTGGAAAGAGCATTATCAATTGAGAAAATGCCCCCATACGAGTGGTCTATCAGGATTGCACATCAGGTAGTTTCTTTGTTATTGACTGACGTGGGTGGGTGGGCCCACCTATACAGAGGGGCAGTGCCACTTCCCGGCAGGTCGTCCTAAGTTGTATAAGAAAGCAAGCTGAACAAGCCATGATTAGCAGTCAGTAAGCAGCAGTTTCTTCATGGTCTCTGCATCCTTCCTGCTTCCAGGTCCGACTTGAGCTGCTGTCTCGGCTTCCCACAGTGATGGACTGTTAACTGGGAGTGTAAACTGGAATAAAGTCTTTCCAAGTTGGTTTTGGTCATGATGTTTTATCACATCAGGAGAAAAGTAACTAAGTCATCCCCATAGATGACTTTGAGAGCCGCAATGCATTTTGACATTTTGTTCTACTAAAGTAACTTGTGGCAGAAATGCTAAGAAGCTGATGCTTCTCACCATCTCAAGCCCTTGGGGACTTTGAAGGAGCAAGGATTCAGATGAAGTAATGGAATATCCTTCTAGATCCTTTGTTTGGAAGACCCCTTTTATCTGTTGTATCAACACACTCAATCCAGACCTCCTTTAGGTAGAGGCGGCTTCAAGATTCATGGAACAACTGAACTCAGGATTCAGGACTGACTCTACCACCTAGAACGTGTGCAGTGTTGGATTAGTAGCAACCTCTTAGATACTCAATAATCCCTTTTCATGAGAAAGTAAAGATACTCTTTCCCAAGTCCCCGTGAGAATAATTCAGAGTGTACAGTGACACTTGGTACCCTCATATTACCTATGAAGGCTTGTATTGGTGTTGGCTCAACACTCGCTTTTTTCACAGGTCTTTTCTTGATTTTCCAGTTCTTGGTTCTATGTTCTTTGCTCTGACTCTACAACATTTGCCCTTTGGCTTTTCTATTCACTGTGATGTGTAGACAATTCACCTCACAAGGGCTTAGGTATGGTCTCTGCTCCTCACAGGGCCTGAGTGGTCACTTGACCTTCTCTCATCTCCAACAATCATTAGGAAAGTGGGCTCTAGCTGGGTGGTGGTCGCACACCCCTTTAATCCCAGTGCTTGGTAGGTAGAGGCAGGTGGATCTCTGTGAGTTTGAAGCCAGCCTGGTCTACAAAGTGAGTTCCAGGACAAGCTCCAAAGCTACAGAGAAACCCTGTCTCAACAAACAAACAAAACAAATAAAAAACCCAACAGCAACAACAACAAAACACCAAGGAAAGTGGGCTCTTGGGTCTGTTCCAGCTTTCCCCTTCTGTGATACTGTGAATGTGAACCTGGGTATTCTGTGTCTTTCTAAGTGTTCAGTGACATGCATGTGGGCCCCTTCTCCTTGCTTAGAAGACTCAGTTTTCTGTTCTCTGCATGTAACACGGACTGGGAAGATGGCTGAGTGACTTTAGATGACCTGTCATTTTCTTGGTGATTTGGGGAGACTGAGTCAAAAAAAAAAAAAAACCACCTTAGTGGCCCAGTTAGTTAGCAACGAGGCTTGGATATCTTTGGGGAGATTGTCCCACCCCAAATCTTAAGGTGACTAATTTCCCTATGTCCAGTCCTCTTACTTAGTTAGACTCGTGCTGATCCGATCCGAAGGGTATCTGAGAATCTAGACTCGCGGGCCTGTTATTATCGGGAGCCAGGATGTAATTAGACAGAGAGACCCAGGTAATGTAGAAGATTGTTTTTCCTTCATTCCCATCAAATAACAATCTCCTTTGTGGAGATCATAAAAGTCCCCAGACTCCTTTGATTCGCTCACCCGCATATTACAGGGCGATGGGTCTGATAACAATGAGAAGGGTAGAATGTGGCTCGTCCTGTTGGCTGCCTGGCAGGTGCCTCTGGAGTTTACTGAGCTTGTGAATTCCTTATGGAGAGAGCTTTTTTCTTGCCTTCTCTTCATGTCACCCACATAGGAGTCTGAATCAGACAGGCTAAAGGGGGGGCTCACAGGCCCGTCAGACTGGAGGGACAAATGAGAACACCCGACTCCACTTCCTTGTTTTAGCCCGAACGCGTGGTTTTTACAGGCAGCACTGACTACCTATCAGCTGTGACCTTCAGATGATGGAAGTGAGGGGTAAGTCATCTGGGCCTTGCTCAAGGTCAGGTGGTAAGTTCACCCCTGGAGAAATGGACATGGAAAGTCAGACTGTTTTACTGGAGAGACTTCAGGAGTTTCAAGAAGACATCAAGTATGTATAGCAACCTGTGGTTTGTAACAAATGTGAGAAAATGTTCAAATGTGTGTGCCTTCCCCTTCTAGGGGGCAGGAGCCCCAGGACAAGAGTCACTGACAGACACGGGGAGGAAGGATGTCCTCAGACTGCTAAGCTTTGCTGTTGGTCTCCCATCTTTTCCACTTCGAGTCTGGGTCCTGCCTCATCGGGCCCTAAACTGGGGTTAGAAATCGCCTGACAACCCAGCTAATGCTCAGGAGTTTGGGTCAAGTGGTTCCTCACCTGGAAATGCCACTTCCAGCTCAGATAGTAATGTGAAAGCCTCCTCTGGGTTTCCCACCAGCCCAGCTGGGGATGGAACAGAGGTGAAGACCCCTAGCAGCATGGTCTTAGTAGGTATTTTTCATCCTCTCCTCCTCTCTGCCTCCATTGCCCTAGCTTGTATATCAGGCGACAGGCAGCCTGCGCCTTTCCTGAAGAGCCATGGGCATCCTAGCTGGCCTGGACTATGCTAGGGCTCTGTGGTGGTGTCTGCTTTGGGACTCTCTGAATGGACCCCAGGACTGTTTTGCCAGGAAGGAAGGGTGCTTGGCCCTGCCCACCTCATCGGCTGTAGGTCATCTCTCTGGCACTGCAGACGGGTGACCTCACTGTTCCGGTGTTGCCTATTTGTACAGCTCTCTACCATTTAAGGCCGAGTCTCAGTGGCCTCCATGGGAGCTGGGAGTAATTGCAGCACTCCGGGGAGCTCCGGCCTCCTCATCACATTCTGGTGTTCTTCCCCAGAGCTGCCTTTGATCTAGCTCTGGGTTGGAAAGGTAACCATTAAGATGTCTATCTTCAGTTTCATTTCCATGGAAGATGCACGGACTAAGCTGGTAGCGGACGTTCTCTTGTTCTCAGATCTGGCCTTCCTCCTAGACTGCATGTACGCTTCTAGAAACTGAGGCTACAGCTCCGGCCTGTTCTCCAGTGGTGCCTCTTGGAAGGCTGTGTTCTCAAGGTGAACCTTCCCTCTGTAATGTGGGTGCTCCCTTCCAAGGCCTATCAGACACACCGTCAGCCCTTGAAGAGCTGATTATTATTTTTATTACACAACAAATAAATGCATGTTAGTGAAAATTCAGAAAGCAATAAAGATATATTATTTATGTCCTCACTATACTGAAACAGCGAGGACAACTCATTTTTCTATTGTTATTCATAGCTGCTTTGAGTTGAAACTGCTCGCTTCATGGAACCTGAGGCCTCTTAATATTTTTCATGTTGGCCAGCAGATGCAGGGTTTTGGGCATGCTGAAGTATTCTGCCCCTGATCTGTAGCTCTACCCTTCTTCCATATAGATTCAGGGGCTGAGCAGTGCTCCATCAAGTAACAAGTGTAAATTTAATCAAATCTCCTTAGATATTTACAGTTTTTTCCCCTAAGTTACACTGTGGTAATTGTTTTATTTCCTTAGCTTCTACCCCACTGCCACAGTTACTTTTCTTTGGTTTCTCCAAATTGAATCCACAGGGACTGTTGAGGCATTTCATGCTTTTGACATCCTGTTCCCTCCTCCCACCTCCCTTCTCCCTCCCCCCTTCTACCCCTCCTCTGTCTCCATTCAGAAGGGGTAAGACTCCCATGGGAGTCAACAAAGTTTGGCATATCAAGCTGAGGCAGGACCAAGCCCTTCCCTTTGCATCAAGGCTGGGCAAGGCTTCCCACTATAGGACTAGGTTAATGACACATTCTTAACACTAGGCCCCAGGGATTTATTATTTTAGTGAAAATTTCGGTGCAGGGCATCTCATTCTATCCTTCGTCTTCCCCTTCCCATTGTTTTGATTGCCTCTGAGGTGAGATGTTTTTGTCCTGTTAATACTTGACCACAGTTGTCCCTGTAACCTAACAAGGGTTGCCAGAAGTTTCTGAGATTCAGCAGACACCTTTCTTCAAAGGTGTGGAGCATAGAAACTTTGGGGACAGGCCTTCCCAGGAGGCCCTGAGACTCAGGCTTCTTGTCAGAGAGAGTAACTACTAGTTGTCACATCTGGAACCTGGGAGACCAGTGCCCCGAAGTCCATGTCTAGCTTTGTCTTCTAAGTGTGTCTATAATTCAATCAGAAGTGTCCCCGGTGCCCTTTTTCAGGATTTTTTTTTTTTTTGAGTATCTGTATTTGCCTTTGACTGTTCTGAATCATCTTCTCAACACCGTGGAAGGACGGGGAGGTATTGGCATGCTCTGAGTCCATGAAGAGGCATTTCGTGATGGCTTCCTGCTACTGCAGAGAATTCCAAACCAGGTTTCCATCGAAACATTGTGGGCTACTCTAATGCATAGGTGATTTGACCTGTGTGACAAGGCTGCCAGCTGCCTGGCTGCAGGAGTAAGCTCCTGACCTTTGCCTGGAGATAAGAGGAGCACCCTCCTGTCTGACCATTCCCGAACTAGATCTGTGCACTTCAGGTGAGAGAATGGGACACCTGTAGGGGAGGAAGGCCGAGTCCATGCACGTGGGCGCCGAGGCTCTTGGTTGTTATGGTTCTCTAAGCCTACTGTATCCCACTGCAGTCCCCATCTCAGCAACACCAGCCTGTCCAGCCCTTCTTGTTCGTTCAGTTTGTTCTGGGCTCGCTAACTGCTTGTAAAATCTTCACTAAATATCAGATGTGCGCGCCTTCCCTGACTGCTGCTCTCCCACACGCATACCTGCTTTTTGTACTTAAGTTTTAATTTAGAAATCTTATAGATTCACATAAATTTGCAAAAACAAAGGTCCCAAGTGTTCTTCATTGGGATTCTTGAAGTAGTGACATATTATTGAATTTTAATATCAAAGTGAGGTAAATGATACAACATACAAGCCATTCTTATTTTAATAATGTCTATTTCTACAAAGAAATCAGAATTGGTCATCAAAAGAATAAATAATCCAATAAAAAATGAAGTATAGACCTAAACAGAGAACTCTCAACAGAGGAATCTAAAATGGCTGAAAGACACTTACGGAAGTGATCAACATCCTTAATCATCAGAGAAATGCAAATCAAAACAACTCTGAGATTCTATCTTACACCTACAGGTGTAAGAATGGCCAAGATCAAAAACACTGATGACAACTTATGCTGGAGAGGTTGTGGGGTAAAGGGAGCACTCCTGCATTGCTGGTGGGAATGCAAGCTGGTACAGCCCCTTTGGATGTTAGTGTGGCGATTTCTTAGAAAATTAGTAAACAACCTCCCTCAAGACCCAGTAATACCACTTTTGGGTACATATCCAAAGGATGCTCAATCATGCCACAAGAACATGTGCTCAACTATGTTCATAGCAGCTTTGTTTGTCATAGCCAGAACCTGTAAACAATGTAAATGCCCCTCAACTGAAGAATGGATAAGGAAAACGTGGTACATTTATACAATGGAGTACTACACAGCGAAAAAAAACAAAAACAATGACATCTTGAAATTTGTGGGCAAATGGAGGGATCTAGAAAACATCATATTGAGTGAGGTAACCCAGACTCAGACAAATATGTACTTACTCATAAGTGGCTTTTGGACATTAAGCCAAAAAACCAGCCTACAATTCACAATCCCAGAGAACCTAGACAACAAAGAGGACCCTAAGAGAGACATACATGGATCTAATCTACATGTGAAGTAGAAAAAGACAAGATCTCTTAAGTAAATTGGGAGTGTGGGAATCATGGGAGAAGACAGAAGGGGAGGGAAGAGAAAAAGAGAGGAGCAGAGAAAATTATGTAGCTCAATAAAAACAGTAAAAACTATCTATTTCTAAGTCTACAAGGGCACTTGGGAACTTGGGTGCTGTGCTCAGCAGAATTAGAGTCTACACGGAGCAGACTGCAGTAGGGGAGCCAGGTGGACCTTGTACTTGCTGCCTCTTCACCCACCATCTGCTGTGCTCCAGGACACCCAACCCCTGACTGCAATAGGACTGCCCTCCCCATAGCACAGTGGAGGAAACCGAGGCATGAGTAAGTTAAGTGGCAGATGGAAAGTCACAGTGCCATTAGGGGGTTGAGATAGAGTTTAAACCCAGGCAGGCTCTCCGAGCCCTTTGCCTGAGAGTTATGCAGCAGGACTAAAGGCAGGTTGCTGGGATGTCGGTTCTTGAACGTTTCTAGATCTCTGACCAATCTTTCTCTCTTTCTCTGTCTCTCACTCTCTCTGTCTGTCTCTGTCTCTGTCTCTCTCTCTCTCTCTCTCTCTCTCACACACACACACACACACACACACACACACACACACTCTTCACGTCTCCTGTTTCCTGGGATTACATACTTTACCAGGCACAACCACACTTAAGAATCACTCAGACTTTGCTCCAGCGGGGCTTGGCAGCTCTAAGCAACAGGCAGAGGCCCCTGGAGCTCTCACGGCCAAGGATTGCTTCTTGGTACAGTGCTGTGTGACCACCACCAGAGAACAAAGCGAGTCCTCTGAGACGGAAGTCTTGCGCAGCAGAGGAACGTGTTTACTTGTCAGTTCATGGTTTTGCTTCTAGCCCCACAAGGCTGTAGGTGGTAATGGAGGCCGGTGACACTGGGGTTAGCGTTGCCCATGGTGCCTCACTTTGGGGGTGGGCATGAGCAGGGGCACCTGGGAGGGCAGGTTTCAACACACACCATGGTGGGGCATTGTGGTGGACATTGCAGGGGGCATGGCGGACACGGGGGACAGGGGGGGCACTTCGGTGGTGGTGGACACTTCAGTGAACACTTGTCAGAGTAGCGCTGCAGCAGCTTCCTTAGACAACTGGGCTGGCATTTGGCCTCACACTTTTGTTCACATCTGGGGTCACAGTACTTGGGCTCATTCTTGGGGTCACTGGACTTGTTCTTATCATCACTCGACATTTTGTTCTTGGATATGTAAGCCTGAGAAGAAACGAGAGACAGAGTGTCAGTGAGGGCTTCTTCCTGCTGGCCCATGCTGTTATCATGTGTTCGGTCTCTAGAACATCTATGGGAGCCGTTCTTGCCTGTGGACTTGGGGTGTGTTTATGTGTCTGCCCTCACTCTGATTTCCTCTCTCCCTGCTTCCATTCTAGACTCCAAGCAGGTGCTCTCAGGGTCCTGGAATGTCACAACAACCATAAGACTTGGAATTTCAGTGTTGGTATTTTTTGTAACCCCTTGTGTTTGGCATAATTCATGAAAGTCATTATTTCAGAATCTATAATGTGGATTGCATTGCTGGAAGCCTTGGTGGCCCCAGGTGGCCATGTCGTTACCCTCGGGAAGCAGGTGAGTGAATAGGCTTGGAATGGCAGGCACATCTGTGAGTTGACTCCTAGGCCATCCAGTCTTGAAAACTGCTTTCTTTTCTGGTAGACTGAGGCAGGGAAGGCAACTGAGACTATTTTTAGCCCCATGAACCATTCTAGAACCGTCCTTCCCTTCCCTCAAGGGATCACAATGCTCTGTCAAACAGTCGGGGAAAAGGAAGAGGTCAGGAGAGAAGAGATTAAGTGGCGGAATCTAATTTCGTGAATTTATGAATGTTTGAAGCAAGAAATATGATTTCCAGAAGGGAATTCCTTTTCTGTTGAGTTCTGCCCTGAGGTAGGGCTTTCTTTAAGGAAAGCTTAACTTCTGGATTTGGACACGGTGTTTAGTTTTGTTTGTTTTTCTTTCGGGGGGGGGGGGGGGGTTCGAGACAGGGTTTCTCTGTAGCTTTGGGGCCTGTCCTGGAACTAGCTCTTGTAGACCAGACTGGTCTCGAACTCACAAAGATCCGCCTGCCCTACGTCCCGAGTGCTGGGATTAAAGGCGTGTGCCACCACCGCCCGGCTGGGTTTCTAGTTTCTAACAAGGCTTGAAGCTGGCTTTAGTTGGTATGCTTTTGATTTTATTTGATAATAAAAAGTGAAATTCCATGAAATGTAGTTCAAATGTCAGTATGTCTGTCTGGGGAGGCAGATCTTTAAACGGAACTCCAAAATGGGTAAAGTCCACTCTAGTCCTTGCTATTGAAAAGAACAAGAAACTTTTACAAAACAAACCCCTCTCAATCCTACTCGGCCCTGGGGTTGCTGCAGGTCGTTCTTAGGACCCAGATGCACAAGAACAGCCGTGGCTACTCAGGTGCAACTCACCCCTTTCTGTTGGTAGTGAAACTGGCAAGCAGTCCAGTGAGGTAGATGGAAGGGCTGTGCTTGGGGAGGTGGACTTCCCCGCTGGTTCCTCTGCTGCGCTCTGAGGAAGCTGGGGGTGGGCTGGGGGCAGGCAGCTCTGTTTATGACATCATTACAGCATCATGAGTAGTGAATGCTGGGTGACTTCTAACTCAATCCAAGAGAATCTAGCTATGATTACTCAACTCCCCCTAGCCTTCTCTCTTCTGGTTCCTCAGAATCAATGCTGGGAGAACGGGGCTGCTGTGGAGGCTCAAAGGGCAGAAGGCTCGTTGCTTCCAGGAGTGGGAAAGCTGAACACCTGTGGTCTGTTCCCTCCCTAGACTCTCAAAGCTGTTTTCCCTTCACCTTTCTGGAAAGTTCTCTGGGTCAGTCACTTCCATTCATTTTCTTTTCCTGATTTTAGTAATGTGAGATCCTGAACTCTCGCTTATCTTCTCATACTTGCTAACCCAAGTCCATAGATTATTTAGTCACCTTTCTTAACGTCTCTGCATTGCTCCTCCTTCCCCGTCCTCCCCTGCTCTGACATGTCTGGTGGGAGGACAGGGATTTATTTTTTTTGCACTCAGGATGTAGTTACCTCTTGATATCCAAGGTTAATGTGCATCGTAAGTAGTGAATCTGACGTTCCCGACCACTCCTGACCAGTCTCGTTAATCCCAGGTCCTGCTGCGTGGAAAGGCCTCTCAGAGGTCCTTTCTGGTCTTGTCAAAGGTCTGGACAGGGAAGTTTACAGTTGGAACTGGGTACCACTGAGCGGCAATGGGAGACTGTTGGGAATAGCAATAAACGGAGCTCATCAGAGACAGGACTTGGACTCAGTCCTGGGAGTCTCATCTTGGCGTCAGTCACTGGGGTATCGAGTGGTTTTTTTTAAAAACTTTTTATTTTTCATCTTTATTTATGTGTCTGAGTGTTTTGCATGATTCAGGTAACTGTGCACACTGCATGTACCTGGTGTCCACAGAAGCCAGGAGAGGGCCTAAGAATACCCAGAAGTAGGGGTACAGAGGTGGTGAGGTGCAGAAGAGGGCATAAGAATACCTGAAAGTCGGGGGGAGGGGGAGAGGAATGTGGGGAGGGAGAGGGAAATAGGAGGCGGGGAGGAGGTGGAAATTTTTTCAATAAAAAAAAGAATACCTGAAAGTGGAGGTACAGAGGTGGTGAGCTGGCAATGCTCATGAGCTCCACATGAGGACTGGGGACTGAACCCCAGTTTTCTGCAAGAGCAGCCAGTGCTCTTTATCTCCAGCCCTACAAGGGACTCTTTATTAAAAATGTTTTATGATCATATCTAAGGTGTCCAAACCCTGACAACAGAGGGTGGGATGGATGGAGCTGGTGGCGTAGTGAAAGTGGATGATGGGGCCAGGCTACTGGAGAAAGCTTATAAGATGCTTGTGTCTGAAGGAAGACACTGGTGAACACATAGGGCGGGTGCTGATGGGACATCACCACAGGAGGCAGCTTCTGTGGAGAAATTGAGAAGGAAGCAGATATGATTCCAATTTCAGGATGAGAGCGTTACCATTCCTGGGAACTGAAGAATTATCTTTGCACTGGTGGGCTAGGTGTTTGAGCCTGAGAATCCTGCGTGCGGCCACAGAGGCAGCTCTTCAGTGATATTGGGAACTGGGTTTTGGCTTGTGCCACTGGGCCTGCCCGAGACCTTGAACTTTTTTTAATCCAACAGTCTTTATTGAGTGGATGAAAATGAGTTGGTCCAGAGACAGGATTGAGGGAGAGGAAAGAGAACAGATATGGAGGAGAGAGAATCATAATTCACAGAGAAGGGAAGAATGAACGAGGCCTTAAACGATGATCGCAAACACGCCTAATGGGCAGAGGGAGGCGGGGCATTAGCCGCTTGGGATAACTGGTGTTGGAGACACAGTCTTTGTGCAGATCACTCATTTTTCCCTATGTAACTTGCCATGAACTCCGTTTCCCCAAAGCTGCCCCCACATCCATTTGGGGGAGCCGATCTCCACTTACTGCTCAATTCTAGACGCAGCTACCATCTTTCGAAGTCAGTGCCAAAGTGTTTTTTTCGAACCACTGTCATCTTTCTTTTGTCTTTCTTTCCTCCTCACTCAAGAATATTATCTAGTGACCCTAGACCAGCGCGATTCGCTCATCTTCTTAGCCTTTGAAACCTTCCCGTTCTAACTCGGCATATCTGCTCATGCTGCATCTGGTACCCTGCTTCCAGCCTCACACTGGGCTCCAGCTCTGTGGGCTGGTGGCAGTGACCAATGAGAGGACACACACAGTGCTGCTTAGGTGACTGGGGCTCAGGAGAGAGGCTGCGAGGAGTGATGAGTAAGTGCCACCGTCTCGCCAAGATGGGTGGCTAAGAGCTAGGTAGGGCCTCCGTGTCAGATTCCTAGGTTCAAATCCTGCTTTCATCCTTCTCTTCCCTAGTAATTTACCTATCCAGTCTACGTCTCAATTCTGTTACCTACAAAATGATATAATAGTAGCTCCTGTTTAGGATAATTTACCTTGAGTGCCACACTCATTACCAAGTGTAAAGCCTACACTCTCACCATTGCACAGCCTCAGTGTTGGGGGTTGTAAAGATCAGGGCGCATCAAGAGCCGTCAGGCAGTGTTCACTGAATTTGCTGCCAGGGTGCTGCCTGGGGGCTTCATTCCTCGGGTTTCTGGATCACTTTCTGTGTCTGTGCTCTCCTTATCTCTCCCCCCCTCTCATAGTTTACATATGTGTGCATGTTTGTTTATGTACACAGCTGTGCTCAGGTGTGTGTGTGTGTGTGTGTGTGTGTGTGTGTGTGTGCATGTGTATGTTCATGCGGGTGTGTGCCAGAGGCATCGGGTGTTATTCCTCAGGCATAGGTACTATTTTTCCTCTCCTTTCCTTTCCTCTCCCCTCCCCTCTTCTCTTACCCTCCATCCCACCCCCCCCCACCCCCCCGTCAAGATTTCTCAGTGGCTAACAAACTCCAGGGTCCATTGGTCTGACTTTTCCCAGCAATGGGATTCCAAAAGTATGTCACCAGCTCATTTTCTTTTTCTTTTTTTCCTTTTTAATGCATTGTTCCTTAGTACTGAATTCAGGTCCTGGTGCTTACGAAGCAAGCCCCCTATCAGTTGAGCCGCCTCCCCAGCTCTGTGTCACCATCTCTAGTTGCTTCTCATCTCTGACCTTGGCCCTGAAATGCCCCCTTTTCAGTTCTTACACTGTTCTTCCTCCTTGCTGTCATTTTCTGTCTTCCAGTTAAATATCTTGGTGATGTTTCCAGCGAGATTAAGTATTTCAATGTTAATGTTAAAACATAATTTCTGTTTTGAGTTAGGACAGTTCATATAAATGTCATTAATAAACAATAGTAATTTAGACATGAAGGCCAACCAAAGCCATCAGATGGCTGGGAGAGATGTCTCAGTGAGTAAGAATACTTACTCTACGAAGTCTGAAGACAGGTGTTAGACTCCCTAGGCTGTTCCCATAACCCTGAAGGTGGGGCAGAGCTGGGTGGATCCTGAGACTGTGTTGATGATCCCCTTCAGTGAAAGTGATAGGTTCACTGAGAGACCCTGCCTCAAGGCCAAAGGGCTGAAGAGGGTAGAGGAGGACACCTGACTTCCTGATGTGACCTCTGAATTCACGTACATAGGTGCACACCTCTCTCTCTCTCTCTCTCTCTCTCTTTTTCTCTCTCTCTCTCTCTCTCACACACACACATACACATAC